CAACAATGTCTACATTTTTATTGAGTTTCATCCATCCATTATTAATTGCAATTGAACAGAAGGGTATCTGGGTGGCTCCGTTGGTTAAGTGTGTGACTTCAGCTCAGGTCATGATCTTGTGGTTCGTAAATTCGAGTCTTGTATACTTAGTTTGGGGGGCTCTTACCTGCAAGAAAAATGTCAAGACCTCTCCAGCTGTGCTGACAGCTCAGAGCCTGGAGCCTGCTTCAGATTCTGTGTCTCCCCTCTCTCTCTCTGCCCCTCCCCCGCTTGCTCTCTCTCTCTCTCTCTCTCTCTCTCTCTCTCAAAAATAAATAAACATAAATAAATAAATAAATACATAAATAAACATTAAAAAAACTTAATGGAGAGATACGCAGATAGATGGAATCTAGGTATTATGGATAATACAAAGTGAATATAGGATATAGTCTCTATTTTAAGAAGTCCAGAAGATGGAAAGATAGGCTATAGCCCAGCCATCTACCATCTGGTCAATAATATTAAAAAATATGTAAACAAGGATGTGAGTGTGTAGTTCAGGCCACACGTATGAATATTGGGGGATTTCAGGTAAGAGAAAAGAATATTGTGTGTGTCATTTAAAGTAGGCTGCCTCCTCCATTGTGTTTTTCATAAGTGAGCTATTTATCCTTTCTAGAAGCAAAAATTTTTTCTTATATAATTTGAAAGTAAATACATATTTTCCTCAATTTAAAACATAGGCAAAATGAATTTAAAGTTTAAGACACATGCGTATAGAAACTATAATGGAAGGGAGGGCATAGGTTAATATATAGTTGAGCCTGGCAGTGGTTAACTCTAGGGGGACCAGCAGGGAAAGACACATAGGGCTTTTCCATTTTAAGCTGGATGGTGAATGTGGGTATTCCTTTTACTATTTTTTTAAAAATAATACACATATATTTATATACCCTTTTGAATATATATTTTACAATTAAAATGTTTTTTAGGGGCACCTGGGTGGCTCAGTCGGTTAAGCGGCCGACTTTGGCTCAGGTCATGATCTCGCAGTCTGTGAGTTCGAGCCCCGCATCGGGCTCTGTGCTGACAGCTCAGAGCCTGGAGCCTGTTTCGGATTCTGTGTCTCCCTCTCTCTGACCCTCCCCTGTTCATGCTCTGTCTCTCTCTGTCTCAAAAATAAATAAACGTTAAAAAAAATTTAAAGAAATGTTTTTTAATTCCCTTTTGAAATTAAAAACAAAACAGATGATCCAGTAATCACACCACTGGGTATTTACCCAAAGAATATGAAAACACTAATTCAAAAGGATATATGCACCCCTATGTTTATTGCAACATTACTTACAATAGCCAAATTAAGGGTGCCTGGGGGGCTCAGCCGGTTAAGTGTCCAACTTTGGGTCAGGTCGTGATCTCACAGTCTGTGAGTTCGAGCCCCGCATCGGGCTCTGTGCTGACAGCTAGGAGCCTGGAGCCTGCTTCGGATTCTGTGTCTCCCTCTCTCTGCCCTCCCCTGCTCATGCTCTGTCTCTCTCTGTCTCAAAAATAAATAAAAATATTTTAAAAAAAAACCTTACAATAGCCAAATTAGGGAAGCAGCGCAAGTGTCATCAATAGATGAATGGATAAATGGTATATATAGTGGAAAATATATATGTATACATAGTGGAATATTACCCGGCCATAAAAAAGAACAAAATCTTGCCATTTGCAACAACATGGGTGGATCTAGAGAGTATAATACTAAGTAAAATAAAACCAATCAGAGAAAGATAAATACCATATGATTTCACCCATGTGTGGAATTGAAGAAACAAAACAAAGGGAAGAGACAAACAAAAAAACAGACTTGTAGCTACAGAAAACAAACTGATGGTTACCAGGGGGGAGGTGGGTGGGAGGATGGGTGAAACAGGTGAAGGGGATTAAGAGTGCGCTTATCTAGGTGGCTCAGTCTGTTAAGCATTCAACCTTGGCTCAGGTCATGATCTCATGGTTTGTGAGGTCAAGCCCCGCATTGACCTCTCTGCTGTGAGCACGGAGCCCACTTCAGATCCTCTGTCCCCCTCTCTCTCTCTGCCCCTCCCCCACTCGTTCTCTCTTTATCTCTCTCTTTCAAAAATAAATAAAGTTTTTTTTTAAAAAATGAGTGCACTTAGGGGCGCCTGGGTGGCTCAGTCGGTTGAGCGTCAGACTTCGGCTTTGAATTCTGTGTGTGTGTGTGTCTCTCTCTCTCTCTCTCTCTCTGCCCCTCCTCCACTCATGCTCTGTCTCTCTCCTTCGGAAATAAATAAACATTAAAAAAAAAAGAGTGCACTTATCTTAATGAGCACTGAGTGATATATAGACTTGTTGAATCATTATATTGTACTCTCGAAACTAATGTAACACTGTTAACTATATTGGAATTAAGATTTTTTAATGTAAAAAATAAATAAATTTCCTTTTGAACTCTGCCACAAACACAAGTTTATGAACTTACATACATAACTCCTGTCCTAATAGATGATGCTATGTCCTAGGAGGCTCTAAATACAGAAGAGGGTGAGAGCTTATTGGGTTGGAACTTGGACTTCACAGAAGCTCATTTATGAGTCTCAAGGAAATCGATTTCAACCTTTATCCTCTGAGACAGACTTTGCATTCTGCTGTACGTGTGTGTGTGTGCACCAGCACGTATATGTGGGTGTCTAAAACCGTAACATCTGAGATTAACTTGGGTGATCACTGAAACTCCAGGAGAAATGCTTTGCCACACATCATCTATGCCTGAACTTCTAAACTTTAGATAGGAACCTCTCAAACGAATTACTTAAAGTGGAAAAAATTAAGTAGCTGTCTTAAGAAACATTAAAACAAAGTGAAGCAGCATTTGAGATTCCTCCACTCTTTTTTTTTTTTTTTAATGTTTGCTGATTTTTGAGAGAGAGAGAGAGAGCACAAGTGAGGGAGGGGCAGAGATAGAGGGAGACACAGAATCTGAAGCAGGCTTCAGGCTCTGACCTACTGGCACAGAGCCTGACACAGGACTCGAACCCACAAACCATGAAACCATGACCTGAGCCAAATCGGACGCTTAACCCGACTGAGCCACCCAGGCACCCCATAGCTATCGAAGAAATACTAACAGCAAACCCTGCAAGGGATTACTGTTTTGGGACTCTTTAGCTGCATCCAGAAGTCTTATAAGCATGGCAGTATTTAGTAATTCCATTTGTATTTACTGAGTACCTACAGCATAGCAGGCACTGTGTTCTGTGCACAGGATTCAGAAGAATAGAGTCACCTCTCCTCCTTCTGCTCTGTCCAGGAGAGGAGACAGGAAAAAAAGGACATTATAATGCAAAGGAGAGACACAGGCACAATGCTTTGAAGCACAGAAAAGGTATCTGTTAACTCTGATTATTAGGGAAGGGATTCAAAAGAGACTCACATGATGATTAGAAGTCCCTAGGCAATTAAGAGGTAGGATCAGCCCACGCCAAGATGGGAAGGAGTGAAATAGCACACCGGGGCTATTGCCAGTGGTGTGGTAAGGACGAAAGCTCAACATCAGTGAAAATCAGGTGGGCGGGGATCACAACATAGCCAAAGGCCAGGTTATCAGGTGCCTGGTCAAACTGAGGAGTTTGGACTTCATCCTACTGATAGGTTGAAGCAATTGAAAAACTTCAATCATAAGAGTGACAGGATTAGATGTGTGTTTCAAAAGGATCTTTGACATGGAGGATGGGTTAGAGAAAGTGTGAGTGGAGGCCCAGGTCCCTTTTGGAAGCTTTTAAAAGAATCCAGGTGACGAATGCTGAAGACTTGATCAGGGGCAGCAGCTGAGCAAGAAGGTTTTCTCTATTTCTCGTTAGGGCTTCTGCCAATCCTTGCAGGATTGAGGTGGAAGCTTCCAGAGTTTAGGTGAGTGAAGGCACCATAAAGGTGCCTGCGGACCCGGCAAGATGACTCAGCTGAAGCAACCAATATGAACAGGCATTAGTGGCTCATTCATTCATTCATTCATTCATTCATTCTTAATTCCACCAAAGCTTATAGGAAACCTTTTCTATTAGGAAGGTGAGCTATACGGTTGAACATTCAGGGGCTTGGGCATTGAAGGGGAGGGAAAACTAAAGAGGGGTGGTGGTGCTATGTGCTTTCACTTTGAAGGTTTCACGCAGGATGGTTAATACACACCTACCTATGCCAATCTCTGTTCCAAGTGCTGAGATACAGCAGTGAACAAGACAGACAAGGTCCCTCATTTCGTGGTTTGTATTCTAGGGATAGAGTGACTAAGGAACCACCTCCAAAATGCATAGGATGTATGGGGTTACAATTAGCTTGGAGAGAATTTGAGCAGGACGAGGAAAGATCAGGAGATGTTGCAGAAGTAAGGCTACTTGCTGATCTTCGCTGGTAAAAGGGCAGTGGGAACCTTTAGAGGTTCCTTGGGGCTGCTTCTTTGTTCTGGGGTTAGGGAGGCCGGGAAGTGACTCTTGCTTTTTTATATATATCTGAGGAACCCGAGGCTCAGGAAGCAATGTCACCTGCCCAAGGCCACTCAAGTGTAAGATAGGGCAGGCGTGTCTGCCAAGGTCCGAGTTCAAAGCCCATGCCAGCCTCCTTCTCTTTGCCGGTAGTGCAGAGGTGGAAAGGCGCGGTGTCCCGGGGTCCCAGGAGAGACTGGCGCCAAGCTCAGGGCCAGCTCTAAGGAAAGGTCGGGGAGGGCGGGACTCCGGGAGCGGCCTGGTCTCCGGACAGTCGTAGGTGCCCCGGGAGGACCGACCCAGGCCGGCTGGCAGTGCAGCGGGCTCCAAGAGCGCCCCACCGCCGTAGGCTCCCTGGCGCTGACAGGTGGGCTGAGGCCGGGGCTGGTCTGCGCTGCCCGTCGGTTCCCCCCACCCGCCAGTGGTTCGCTCCGAACACCCCTCCCCGGGCGGCAGGTACCGTGGCCCGCCCCGCTTCCGGTTGTTGCCGGGCCCTATATCCGGTGTCCGCCCGCCCTCGGCTCCGCCGCCGCCGCGATGCTGTCCCGGTCACGCTGCGTGTCTCGGGCGTTCAGCCGCTCGTTGTCTGCTTTTCAGAAGGTACGGTCCGGCCGGGCCGGGGCCCCGGCGGATGAGAAACGCGCCGGCGGGCCGAGGGGCAGCCTGGGTGCTGGGGCGCGGCGCGCCGGTCAAGCCGGGCACCAAGGGCACCGGGACGCGGAGGCCGCGGACTGGGCGGCCCGGGGCCGCAGCTGCTCTCTGGGGCGTCTTGCAGAGCCCAGCGGCCCCCAGCTTTCCCGAGGCAGCCGGCGCCCCGTCCCCGGCTGCGCCCCACCCTCCGCGCCGGGGCTGAGGAGCCTCCCAGAGCCGCGCCCGTCCCGACACGAGACTCAGAGTTTGGGAGGAGGCGCGGCGGAGTCCAGACGGGATCCGGGGCCCGCCCCCTCTCTCCCGTTAGTCAGTGGGTGTTCAGCCCCGGTGGGAAGTTGAGATAGTTTGTCAGGCCCGGCTGGGACTGAGAGCCCTGGTTGTTGCATTTGCCTTTTGGAGTCATGAGATTCACCTGTCACTAGCACCCGGGCAGCTTTGAGTCTGTACTTAAAAGAAAAAGCTGTTTCTTTCCTCCTTTCATCTTGGGTGACGTCGATAATGTCTTCTTTCTCAACAGGGGAACTGCCCTCTAGGGAGACGTTCCCTGCCTGGTAAGTTGTGCCCTTGTCTTCACCTAACATGCTTTTCTCCTGGGCAGAGCAGTAAGTGAGGAAACCGGGGTGCTAATGTTTCTCCACATGATGTTCAGATATATAGGAGTGAAACAAAGTACTATTTAATAAGAACAGCTATCGTTTATTCATTTAGCACGTAGTTACTGAGTTTCTCCTGCCTGTACTAGGTGCTCCCTAGGGATGCAGCAGCTGACAGTTCTTGCCCTTCTGGAACTTCCAATCTAGGAGAAAAGACAGTGTAAATTGCTAAGCAAATAAGGGATCATGAATTTTGGTCATGCGCCGAGAAGGAAACAAATGAAGGTGGACAGAACAGCCCTCTTTAGTAGGGGACATTAAAGCTGCAACCCAGAGGGTGTGACAGAGGCCAGTTCAGTGAAGACCAGGAGAAGGAAAGGGAATAGCATGTACAGAGACCATGAGGAAGGGAAGAGCTTGGCAGTGTTTTGGCACTGGGAAAAAAAAAGGTGATTTAGCCAGAGAATTTTGGTTAAGGGAGGGAATGGTCTGAGATAGAAGATGGTGTGTGGACTATTGGAAGGAATTTAGATTTTATCCCAATTTTTTATATGCCTGGCATGAATGTTTGTTGAATGAGTTGATCCTATTGTGAGCTTTCTGTGTGCCAGGCGTTGTTCTGAGTGCTTTCTGCACATTTTGCAGTTAATCATCAAGAAACAATAAAAGAGGTATTCTCTTTTACAAATGCATAACCCAAGAAGGGGTAAGTGCCTTCACCAAGGTCACTCAGCCAACTATTGGTCAAGCCAGGTCTACCTGACTCCTCAGCCTCAACTCTTAACCCATCATGTCGTCGCTTACTCATGTGCTCAACAGATGCATTATTGAGTTCTTACTACATGCCAGGCACTGTGCTAGGTGACAGGGATACCCTCCAGAATCTTAAGGGCTAGCTGGAGAGACAGCAAATATGCATTTATGCACACATAAGGACACAATTACATCGTGATGACTATGAACTAGAAGTCTAGGGTGTAATGAAAGGGTGGGATGTAGCCCAGCTTGGGAAGGTGGAGAGTGTGGTGAGAATGTCACTAAAGGCTTCCCAGAAGAAGTGACATTTAGGCCAAGTCTTAAAGAATACATAGCAGTTGGCCAAGAGAACAATATTACAGGCAAAGGGAATTGCTTGTGCAGAGGTTTTCAGGCAGGAAGGGACTTAACCGGTCACAGAAATGGAAAGGAAGTCTGTCTGGCTGCAAAGATAGGGAGGGCTGTACAGTTCAGGGATGTGTAAAGTTTTTGGACTTCATCCTAAGAGTCCTGAGAACATAGGCACCTAGCAGAGTGAGCTTGTAGTGGACTCTCAACAATAAATATTCTTTTAAACTAGGAATCCCAAAAGTAAACATTTTCCCCATTTATAGACTGGCAGGACAATGGAAAGAACCTTGTACTTGGGGTTTGCGTTGTGTCCCAAGGCTTCACCTTGGGCTAGTTACTTAAACCTCCAGAAACCCTACTTATGTATGAAATGGGAATAATGACAGACGGTCGTTCTACTTCAGGGAGGTGTGAGACATGAAAATCAAAATGAGGTCATTTATGTGAAAGCTTTTTTTTTTTTTTTTTTAATTAGCATGAGAAGGGGAGGGGGCAGAAGGCAAGAGAATGTTAAGCAGCCTCCATGCATAGTGAGGAGCCAGATGCGGGGCTCAATCCCATGACCCTGGGATTATGATCTGAGTCAAAATCAAGAGTCAGATTGCTCTGATGGCTCAACCAACTAAGCCATCCACGTGCCCCTGTGAAAGCTTTTCGTAAACCCTAAAGCACTGTATAAATGAGACTTGCTATAGGATGAACTCTAAATTGGACTTAGGGTTCCAAAACTCTGTATGAGCTGTTGGTTGTTCTAGCTCAAAGCTATGCTGTACTTGGGATTTGTACCGCAGAGGCATTGACTGCTGAACAGAGAAGTGACTTACTTGACTCTGAAACCTTGGAGATTTGGGGGAGGAGGGGGCACAAGAGAGTGCTGTTTCCCATTTGGTGTCTCCTGAGCCCATGGTTTGGAAAGAATTGTTAATAGCTCTGAAGGAAATAAGAGCTATGAAAGAATTTGTTAGGGGAGGCAGCTGTACTGTAGTAACTAGTTGTCAGTTGGGGAAGTGCCGTTATCTGTGATAAGGACAACTGGTGGGGCAGAAAGGGGCTCCAGCCTTGTTGAGTCTGACCAGAGGGGAAGACCTCAGGGAGATCACAGGAAGACAATAAACTGAAATGAGGGACAGTGATTTGCTTGGTACTGGGGCAAACTGGAGACCCTGAACCTAAAGTAGCCCAGTCTTTGCTACTAGAGTTTGGGTAGTAAGATTTCCAGTTTCATGCATTATAAGTAACCAGGGAAACAGAAACCCAGACCAAACATTCCCACTGCTTCTCACGTGAGGCTATGTGTAGTCACAAGCCATTATGTGTCTTCCTCAAGCTTCAGTTATATTTGAACACTTGGGGAGTAGGGAGGTTTTATTGTGAAAATATGTAAGGATAATGGAAGTTTATGAACTTTAAGGTAAATAAGATGATAAAACTACTTCCAGCTTTACCCTTAGAATTCTCCCCTTTCCTCTTCAAACATATACCCACTCTCAACCCCACATACCTGTTGCTCTCTGCCATTGAGAAGCAGGACTCTTTTGGTAAAGATTATATTGGTGCCTACATTTGATCTTGCTCTATCTCAGCATTAGGAGGTGAACAGACTTTTCCATTCCCAGCAGGTAACCTGTATAAGATAAGAGTTGTTGGTTAAGAGTTGTTTTGTTTCTTGCAGGGGTCTCCTTATGTCAGGGACCAGGTTACCCTGACAGCAGGAAGATTGTGTAAGTATCACTGGGGAGCACAAATGTGTGACCACAGGGTATTTAAGACTCTAGTTCTAAATTTGACCATCTGCTTTCTTCACTGGCTTCGAAGCCTAGCTATCAAGGTGGTTATGTTGAGTCTCTAGACCTAATCTTGTTGATTTATGATGTGTGATATACCTTGAGCTTCAGCCTCATGTCCAGTGCTGGCCCGAGAGTGTGGTTGTCCTCAGGTGTTTAGATTATAAAGAAAATGAAATTGGAACCCTCTCTTTATGGGAATAAATATACAAGGGTACCCATAAGTATTCTGGTTGGATACAGATGCTGCCGAAGGGCTGGAGGTTAACATTTATTGTGGAGATTTAGAGCATCCTCTTGGTAGCATAGTATTCATTTTTGAAACAGTAAAAGCAAAAGACTAGTCAGTTGAGTCCTGGGACTTTGCTTCGGAGGGAATGCTGTTATTGCGTAATGCAGTTTGAGAAAGGCCACCCATGTGTGTTTCAGATTAACTTCTGCTTATGAATGTTGCTTAATGCCACTTTTCATTCCAAGTATTTTCAGGGTGGTGGTAAGAGGATGCTCTCTAGTTATCGGTTAAACAGCTATCAAGCTACTTTCTGTCTAGGGAGAGTCTTTAAAATGAAGGGTCAGCAGATTAGTTCCTTCTTCACCATGCATCACAATGGGATTTTCTTTTCAATTGAGAAAATAATGCACTTAGTACTAAAAGAATGAATTTCTGAGGTTTTTTTGGAGGGCAGTTGACATTCATGAGTCTTTGAACTGTGTATTTTTTGATCTAGCAATTCCATTTCTAAGAATCTATACTAAAGAACTCCTGGTATACCCAGATTCCTCTCAAAATGGGGAAACAGCACGGGCTTGGTTAAGCTGTGTCATGTTAACACGTTCACACTATGATAAGTGGGAGAACGCAGGTTATAAAATGGTTCTGTATTTTTACTGTACTTTTTTTTGCTGTTTCCAAATATTCTGCAGTGAACATATAATACATTTTGTTTCTTTTTTTTAAGAGAGCATGAGCAGGGGAGGGATGGAGAGGTGGAGAGAGAGGGAATCCCAAGCAGGCTCCACACCATAAGCTGAGAGCCCGACGTGCGACTCAATCTTACAAACCGTGAGATCATGATCTGAGCCGAAACCAAGAGTCAGACACTTAACCAACTAAGCCACCTAGATGCCCTTCATCTACAATTTAAATGAAAATTGGAACAACCACAAATTTCTATGCAATATATACAACAAATTACCGTCTGAAAGTAAATTGTTTTTCAACAAAACACTAAAATTTCAGGGGTGAGATCACCTTATCTTATAACTGTTTTTGTGTTGTCTTTTGTCTGTTTTCTGTGAATAAGGTACCCACTTTATTTTAAAAATCCTTTCATCATAAAACATTTTGATTTTTCATGATTCAGAAGTGGTCTTGCAGTGCCACCAAGTTCCTTTTCCTGGAGACAGCCAGTGCTCCAGGTTCTTGAGTGTTCTCATGGAGCAGTCTCTGCAGTTGCACATTACCCACCAGTTCTGTCCCACGAACGTGTGCTTACACATGGTTATAGACTTTATGCAGATCACTTTGTGTTCTGTGCTTTTTCAAAAAATAACATACATTTTCCCCTTGATTCCACATAGATCTTACAGTTATTTTGACATTACAAAAGTAGAAATGTCAAAAGGCAACTTAGGGGCGCCTGGGTGACTCAATCGGTTAAGTGTTCAACTTTGGTCCAGGTCATCTCATGGTCTGTGAGTTCGAGCCCCATGTCAGGCTCTGTGCTGACAGCTCAGCCTGGAGCCTGCTTCAGATTCTGTGTCTCCCTCTCTCTCTCTCTGCCCCTCCCCTGTTCATGCTCTGACTCTCTCTCTCTCAATGGTAAATATTAAAATAAGTAAATAAATAAAAACAAAAGGCAACTTAATCTGTTTTTCGTATCATAAAGGTGCTTGTTGTAGAATATTCAAACAGTGCTGAAGTGTAGAAAGTGAAAGTCCCCATCGGTCCTAGTCATTCTCCCCAAATGTATGTGTGTGTTAACAGGTAACCATGGATACCATATATATCTACATGTCCCACCTTCTAAAGTTAACCACTCTTATTGCTTTCGTGCATATAAGGTGATCTCATTCTCTAGTTTACATTATATGAAGTTAGTGCCATATTGGAAAATACCTTGGTCTTTTGAGGTTCTTCTTGAGTGGGTCCAGAATGGACCAGTGTGCTGCCTCCTAGCAGGAGAACAGACTAAGAGATATCTTAGGACTTTTTTGGTGGTTCTGCCCCTGCCCCCACCCTTGGCCCATAACATCTTGATTTAATACTGAGTTAACTGTGTCATCTTGCTGCCTTATCTGATCTCGGTCTGTAATCCTGCAGACAAAAATTTCATTGTTTGTGGCGCAATGGCCCGTACTTTATCTTAGGTGGATTTGGTTAAGAAAAAACCTAATCAGGAAGCCAGTTCCTTTTGGTGGGTGTGCAAAGGACCAAGATGCTTATCTTTTCCTTCGCTGAACCGAATGTAAGGCTCTATTTTGTGAGACCTGACGTTTCACTTTAGCACAGGGTTCTGGACTCACCCGAGGAGCTTACTTCTTAGGGCACCCAAATCATCTGGCCTCTGCCATAGACCTGCTGAGTCATAATCTCTGGGGATGGGACCTGGACACGTATGCTTTGAAAAAGTTCCCCTAGGTGACACTGATGGACACCCCTGGCTGAGAATCACTGATTTAAAGGGAAAGTGATCCATGGTGCCTTATCTAGACTAAGATGTGAGTGGTTCACCTGCTAAAGGAGCTTACTTTTTTTATGTTTTTTCTGTAGTATTAACAACAGTAGTGTCTTCAGTGTTCGCTTCTTCAGAACTACAGCTGTGTGCAGTAAGTACCAGCCTTCAATTCCCTGCCTGCTTGGGAATGGCGTTTTAATGGGAAGAGCAACAATGGAGTTTAATTAAAATGGAAATATATGGACTCCATGTGATTTTTCTTTTTTGCTCTTTTCCTAGAGGATGATGTGATTACAGTCAAAACCCCAGCGTTTGCAGAATCTGTCACAGAGGGAGATGTTAGGTGGGAGAAAGGTAAGATTTCAGGCCTTACTCGTTTCTTAAGTTTAAATGCTTTATAAAGTTGTCATTGCCCTCCCCCTCTCCCTGCCTCAGTAATTGGGCTCCTTCTTATTACGTGCAGTGTAATTTTTCCTGACCCTGTAGGAAAAGGGTCTTTTAACACACCTGTCAAAAGGGATTTTGTGGCTATTGGAGTCCTTCCCACTTAACCGGCAGCCTTTGACTGTCTTTTCAGCTGTTGGAGACACTGTTGCAGAAGATGAAGTGGTTTGTGAGATTGAAACTGACAAGGTAGGCTTGTCCTATATCAGTGTAATCTTTCATGCTCTCCCCCTTGGTTTATTAACCTAATTAAAAAAAAAACAGGGACTTAATTGTTGTTTAAAGATAATTTTTAACTTTAACCTCCATTGTTAAAGTGTTGGAATAGCTCATTAAAAAGAAAAAGAGTCTTAAAAGTTTATTTTTGGATTGTTCTCAGTATATGTATTATGTACGTTAGTGGCTTTAGTTTTGTGTGTGGTCGGGGTAGGGGGTGGTGGTGCACACACGTGTTCCTGCACTTGTGTGTTCCTGCACTTGTGCTTGGGCATGAGATGTTTGGATTTTTTTTTTTTTTTTTTTTTTTTGTATCACTTGGAAACACATTAACTGAACATTGCTTTAATGTTTCTGTGAAAGGACAAAGGGTGAATCTTCACAATAGCATTGACTCTTCATTACTCTGAGAGTGTGGCCTTGGTGTTTCTATGTGCAGAGTCTTGTATATCTGTTTTGCAACTGTTGTGACTCATATTGGAGATTCTAGACAATTAAATTTCTAATGCTGAGTAAAAATTTGAACTCTTTCCCCATCTGTCCTTGTTTTCCAGACATCTGTGCAGGTCCCATCACCAGCAAATGGCGTGATTGAAGCGCTTTTGGTACCTGATGGGGGAAAAGTAGAAGGAGGCACTCCTCTTTTCACGCTCAGGAAAACTGGCGGTAAAGAAGTTCTCCTGGTTGTCAAGGTCTCCAGTGTTCCCCCTTGGAATTGGGGCTGAGCATAATGTACTAATTCCTTGGTACCTCAAAGACTATTTGGCATTCCGGCTGCTGTTAGTTGAGGGACTAAGGTGATATTTATATAGTGGGCACTTTAAATATCAAGTTCTAGAAGAAAGGGGTATTTAAAAAAAAAAAACTTGTAATAACTCTTCTTTCCGTGTATTTTCTTATGCTGGACCTTTTCTTAAACATATAATAGAATGAAGAAGATTCTAAAGATAGTGATTTTTTTTTTTTTTCCTTCTCCCCAGCCCTGGCACCAGAATCACATGGGGGTATTAAAATAAGACAAATGCCTAGACTCCATGGTCCAGGGATTCTGATATATGAAATCTGGTGTTAACAGATCCTGGCTATTATAGTTTGTTTTTAGGTGTTTTTAATGCTCTCCAAGTGATTCTGATACAAAGCCAGGGCTGAGAGCCACTGCTCTACTAAAGTGAGAAGAAATAATATTTCATGGTGTCCATTCTGGAGAATTCAGTGTGTTTTTTCCGCGTGTTTTCTCATAACATTTGTAGGGAGGGTTGCTTTTTCCCTTGGGAAGAAATGAGAAACAAGAAAATGAATTATATGGGACCTTAGAGTCAGTATGAGGGGTTAGAAAAGAAAATAACTGGTTTTCTGATTCTTTGTTAAATGCTGTGACTGCTAATGTCTATTTCTTTCTCGTTAACAATATAGTTAAGTAGAGGGATGGTACATTACATCCTTGAGATTAATCAGGCTGAGACCAGGCTGAGATAATGTGTGGTAGAAGGCTAGGGAATAAGATTGATTCTTCCAGTTGAAGAATTCTATCTCTTTATCATTCCTTGAAAAGAATGTTCTTCTAATTTACATATGAAACCAGATATGTACAGTTGGATAAACTCAAAATACACATTTAATTTAAAGTTGTGAGTTTATGGTTTGGCCACCTCATTGATTTATGAGCATTATGCTAGATGAAACGCTCTGAACTCTTTAAGTCTGAGTGAGCCTTTATTTTAGACTTTTATTTTTTAATAGTTCGGAGTATTCTTCCACACGTGATGTTAAAGTAGAAGATGAGACTGTCAGTATTCCTGTAACTAGAAATGTGTTGCTTTCATGTATTTGTATTAGCTAGCATCTTCAATTGCCTGGATTTCTTTTGCTTGGAAGTTTATATTGCCATAGGCTTAGTAGGTGCTGTGAAAGTACTTGCTAAATTTGACCAGCAGTCAATACATGTGAAATCAGGAAGGCAGCTGAATTAAGTCAGTTATGTAATGTAGGACATCCAGGAGCGCTAGGAAATGGAAGGATAGGGCCTCATATCATTGTGTGCATTTCATACTGCCTTGCATATACGGCAGATGCCCAGGTAGAATGTGTCAAGTGATTCGAGATAGAGCTTTTGCTGCTCAACCTTGCTTAGTGTCTGATTTGGTTGCTTTTCGTTCCAGACAACGCCAATGGCCTCTGTTTTTGTTTTTCAGCTGCTCCTGCTAAGGCCAAGCCACCAGAAGCTCCTGCTGCTGCAGCCCCAAAAGCAGAGCCTACAGCATCGGCAGTTCCTCCTCCCCCTGCAGCATCCATACCCACTCAGATGCCACCAGTGCCCTCACCCTCACAACCTCTCGCTAGCAAACCGGGTAAGCCTTCACCTCCCACGTGTCTCTGTGTGGGAGAAGAACATCTCATCTAATGTCATGTTCCCTCATAGGGCAGAATCTGAGACTAATCATGGCTCTGAACAGGCTCTGTTGACTGCTTTGTAGAAGGAGCTGTAGACTTTGTATCAGAAGACCTGGATTTGGATCCCAGCTTTTTGTTCACAGCTGTGTGACCTTAGGGTAGTTACTTAACTTCTCTGAGCAGATCATTCACTTGTGAAGTGGGAATGGTCCTAGTACACCTCAGAATACTTCAGGATTAAGGGACAATACAGTATGAAAGCACTGCCACTTAGTAAATGTTACTCTGATTTTCTGATGCAGCTGTACCTTCCCTTCATTTTCAGTGTCTGCAGTAAAACCCACTGCTGCCCCTCCCGTAGCTGAGCCAGGAGCTGGCAAAGGTCTGCGTTCAGAACATCGGGTAAGCCTCTGGGGACCACTTCCAGGAAGAAGCAGGGGGCAGTGTTGAGATTAGTGGAGTGCAGGCCCTGTGGTGCCTACCTTTGAATGGCCGACAGCTCATGGAAACTGAGTTTAGGAAGTGATGTATTGACAGTCACATAACAGTCAATTGATAGGACTAGATAGAACCTAAAGTCTTCTGAACATTTACTTGTCCAGTGGTTTTTTTCCCCACTGTGTTGTGCTACCGCTGAAACGCCTTGGTTGAGTGAAATATTTGCAGGAGACGGGAGCTTACTGACGTGCGCCCTCCCTCCCACAGTAACACACACTGTAGAGAGGTGGTTTGGTGAGCTCTGTTCCTGCCCCTCAGGGACGCTTAGCTGAAGGCTACATAGTAATAGTAGCTACTAGGGGTGGACATAAAACCTCAAGGAAGTATGGTCAAGAGTGTGGGTTCCCCTGCCTGAGAATACCGCCTAAAAATACTGTCGCCTCAAAGTTTGTTGCTTGTGAGTTTCCATTCCACAGTAGCTATTCTCATGCAAGTCTTTATCACCAGAAATTGCCCATTCTGTCGTGATTCTTGGGCTAGCTAGCCCTACACCACACTCTTCCTTTTCATAAATTGGTTTTGGTTTTTAAATCAAACCATTTCCTGAGCCTCCATTCTTGGTCAAATGCAGGGACATCTGAGTGAGTAGTTTTTCTCTGGGTCTCCTCTTATTCTTGCTCAGAGGAACAAAGTCACCACAGGCAAGAGAAAGCCTGGAGCTCTTGTGCTTTATTACTGTAGTCCTTGACCATCCAGTCCTTGTAAGCTGAGTGCTCCCTTGGACCGAGCGGGGAGGGCTTGATCCAGAGAGACCAAGTTGTCAATACTTGTCCCACTTTCAGGAGAAAATGAATAGGATGCGGCAGCGCATTGCTCAGCGTCTGAAGGAGGCCCAGAATACGTGTGCGATGCTGACTACGTTCAATGAGATCGACATGAGGTGAGCGCTCTAGTCCCTATCTCCTTTTCCTTGGAGAACACTTGAACTTGCCCCAGCCCCTACCTAGTGCTGATTCCAAAACTAACAGCAAGAAGAGGGATCCCTTTGCACTGTTTGTTGACTGACACAAGAAGTAACCCATCAGTTTCATTCTCTAATTGCGTGCCTCTGTGACTTAAAAAACTGGGCCTTTTATACCTGAATCTTGTGACGTCTGATAAATGAGGCTGATGATGGTGTTAACTCTGATGACCTGATAACTAGTATTGAGTTGCCAAGTAGAGATAGGGCAACCACGCCAGTGAGGCTTATGTCTGGGCCTACCCTGGAGACAAAGAGCCACTTGACTCACGCTCAGAGCCAGGGCGCTGCACCCTGCTTCTTTCTCACAGTGACCGCTCCTTAAGTGCACTTCTAGGCAACTCAGACTGGGTGGTAGAAAGGCATAGGCTTGTCTTTGCTTTCACCTTTACCAGCTTTGATAAAGAAATGAAAAGCAAGTTTTTGTTTTGTTTTGTTTTTTTAATTTTTTTTTTTTAACGTTTATTTATTTTTGAGACAGAGAGAGAGCATGAACAGGGGAGGGGCAGAGACAGAGGGAGACACAGAATCTGAAACAGGCTGCAGGCTCTGAGCGGTCAGCACAGAGCCCAACGCGGGGCTCGAACTCACGGACCGTGAGATCATGACCTGAGCCGAAGTCCCGAAGTCAGACGCTTAACCGACCAAGCCACCCAGGCGCCCCTGTTTTGTTTTGTTTTTAAAGTAAAAACCTCAGAATGATAACCAAAGGGACAATTTAATATAACCATTTCTATGGTGAGCTGTTGACTCACCCATTTTCTTCAAGGTTTTGATGTATACAAGTGTCAGCACTGTGGGGAAGACAGTGTGTTAAATTTTGCAGTATTTGAGCACTTACTGTGTACAAGACGCTATACTGTATTTGAAGGGCATACAAGGATAAGGGAAAAAGAGCCCTACCCTTTTAGAGCTTACCATGTGGTTTAGATAAACACAAAGTAAAATCTAGAAGAAGAAGCGTCAGAAGAGTACAAAAATTATGAGGTGGAGAGAATGAGAGTATTTGTTTTTGAGGTATAGGGCAGAGATGGGGTGGGGAGGGTCAGGCAATACTTGGAGGAAAGATTTTTTTTTTTTTTTAATGTTTATTTTTGAGACGGAGCATGAACAGGGGAGGGGCAGAGAGAGAGAGGGAGACAGAATCCGAAGCAGGCTCCAGGCTCTGAGCTATCAGCACAGAGCCTGATGCAGGGCTCAAACCCACAAACCATGAGATCGTGACTTGAGCCAAAGTCAAACACTTAACTGACTGAGCCACCCAGGTGGCTCTGAGATTTTTTTTTAAGATTTTATTTTTGGTGGGGGTGCCTGGAGCTCAGTCAGTTGAGCACTTGACTCTTGATTTCAGCTCAGGTCACAACCTCATGGTTTGTGAGTTCAAGCCCTGCATCAGGCTCTGTGCTGACAGTGAAGAGCCTGTTTGGGATTCTTTGTGTCTCTCTCTCTCTGCCCCTCCCTCCCGTGTGCTCGCTCTTGCTAGCTCTCTCAAAATAAGTAAACTTAAAATCTATCTATCTATCTATCTATATATATAGATATATATATATATAATTTTAATCTCTACCCCGTGTGGGGCTTGAATTCACAACCCTGAGATCAAGAGTTGTATACTCCACCAGTTGAGCCAGCCAGGCGCCCCAGGAAAGAGATTTTTAATAGGTCTTAAGATCAGCTAGCATTTTGACACAAGTAATATTGGGGGGAGGGTCATTCCAGATGTTGTAAACAAACAATATGGACCTGACACAGGAAGTACAGGATACATTTGAGAAATACCTGATGTCAGGAATGTGTGGGAAAGAATGGGAAAGGAAGTCGGATCCATACTTTGGAATGTTTTGAATGCCAGGGGTAAAAGTTTATATTTAATTCAGGAGGAAAACCATGAAGCCTTCAGGTCATGTCTTTGCTGCTTTTTATTCTAAGTGTTTACTAACCTACTTTTCATTAGGGGAAGTTGTTTTCTGTTGAAGGGATCTGAAAAACATAGAGAAGGGAGTGATGTATTGACAGTGCTCTGTGGCATTGTTCCCAGAGTAGGGCTCTGTGGCTTGTTTCACTAGATGTTTTCCATTCTGTCGTGAAGCTTCCTACAAAGACTGGATACATTCAAGCAAAAGATTTCTCTCCTTCCTATCCGTAGGACACAGGGAAGGGCCTTAACTAATGAATCACAAAGGCTGCAGCTTATGTTTCAGTGCATTAGGGCCAGATTGTACACAAATTGAATTGGACTTTGAAATTCTACCTAATTCCTTAAGACAAAACATGTAAATATTTGTGGCCTTGAAAGATGCAGTTGGCCCAACAGCTTTGATGGGAAGGTAAGTGCAGTAGCTGGATCACCTTTCAGCAGCTAATCAAGGTGTCACTTAACAGTGGCCTGGGGTCTCACTGCAGTCAGTAATGTGGTTTAGATCGAGTGCCCTTTGGGTCTTGTGCTGATCAGCTACCCATGAGGGGCCTTTCTGAGGCCTTCTCCTCTACCCTGTTGTCCCAGCCCCTGCCTCCAAGGGCAGAGCTCTGAAATAGAAACTGCTTAATGACCAGACAATAGCATTTGGGCAGGTTTGAGAGCAGAGATGTTTATCACATAGCTTTCCCTCTTCTGCAGCTCTTGTGTCTTGGGAACCAGTAATGTCTTTAGGGTGGTAATTCTAGCACTAAATAAGGTTAGACTCAGGAAAACAAACATTTAAACCCAATCAGGCCCCCTAGGAAAACTTCCTTTTTCAAAGGCAAACAGTCTGAAGAGGGAGTTAAAGTTATACTGTCGTCTTTGGTGCTAATGTCAAATTAGGCCATTATAGGGAGAAAGGGAAAACTGAGCGTTTAGGCTTGAGATAAAGTTCAATTCAATTTCCCTCATGGAACTGTATTCCGATAAATATTGAGGTTTCTGCAACAAAATAATGGGAAAATCATTTCCCACTAACTGCGGTATGTATGTGGTACACATCTATGGAGAAATCAGTCCTAAATGAACAAAGGCTGTTTATGTTGTAAAGACTTCTCAGAAGGCCCTGCTGCGTGTACTCTAAAAACTTAGGTCCACACATCTCCAGTTTTCTAAATACCAAGGAAACCACATCCATTAAACTGATATGAAGGACAAGGGCTATGTCTTTATTATATTTGTATCTTGATGTCCAGCCTTGTCCCTTTCATGTGTTGGGTGTTAGCACCTGTTTGAAGGAACAGGTATAAGGAACTGCTAACTCTGGGGGGTGAAGAAGAAATCTATTGACTTTCCCGTGAGCCTAAGAGGACACTGGACTCTACCTGACCGTATATAGTCATGGATGCTTTTGCTCACGTGGAGCCCAAACACCTGTGGAGGTTTTTGTTTTTGTTTTGTTTTTTGTTTTCATTATTTAGGAGACTGGAAGAGGGTCACAAGGAAGTCATAATCAAGTTTGTTGTGGATTTTGGGGACATAATTGTAACAAAAAGAATATTATTTATTTTATAGACTGTGTTTATGCTTAAAACAATTTTTCTTCAGAGTAGAGAGCTCATGATTTTAGTGTAGCTAGAAATCATGTTCTTATCCAGTCAAGGATGTTGGTATGCTGCGTGATCTCTTGATCATATTACCTGTCACTAAATTTGTGATTTCTGGAACAGGAAAGAGCCCCATAAGGGACTTAACCTACCTTAAAGACTGGACTGATTCTTTTGATTCCAGGTTTTGTAAAGGAACAAGGTAATTATATTGACCTCTGCTGGACTATTTCAAAACTTGAACTTAGGTAGATGGTCCAGAGTAAGGGAAAAATGTTTACCCAGTTGTGTACACGGAGTTAGAAGCTGGTATGAAATCAAAATAAAGGCTTTGTGGTCACTTTGTTTTGTGATGTGTTTTTGCAGTAACATCCAGGAGATGAGGGCTCGGCACAAAGATGCTTTTCTGAAGAAACATAACCTCAAACTGGGCTTCATGTCGGCATTTGTGAAGGCCTCAGCCTTTGCCTTGCAGGAGCAGCCTGTTGTAAATGCAGGTGAGTTTGTGGTGGCCGGACCCCAAGAGGTCCTGGGAGATGTGTGCAGGAACACAGACTGCTCCCACACACACAGAAAGATGGGGGCCAACAGACCAAGACTCTTTCATACCTGTGAAAACACGAGTGTCTTTCCCCAGAGACTTCTTGGTTCACCCTCCTGAAATGGTGTCATGATTATTCCCGCCTCCCCCGCTCCCCCAAGCTGGACAGAATGGTTTCTCCTCCCAGTTCATAGTTTGGCAACTGCTCTGCCATCAGGCAGTTCTGAGCAAGCCCAGTTTTCCAGGCTTCTCATGTCAGGGTGGAAGCTTATGTTCTGTCTAGCACCAGCCTTCCCACGGGCCCTGGCATCTTGTGGCGTGTCACACTTGGCATAGGTTCCAGGGTGACCTTTGGTTTCTGGTCACTGAACCTCACTGGTAGGCCTTGGGCTTGGCCCCTCTTTCGTGGACTTGGTGCTCATTTTCCTTACTTTCTGCTCACCTACGTCATTGCAATGTTGATCTAACAAGCAGTTCTTTCCTATTGAGATGCTTCTCTGTTCCCTGGAAGATTGGAGAGGGGATAGTGACACTTTTGCAATCCTCAGCAGTGCCAAGGGTCCCTAAAAATCTAGAAATAGAAACCCTAGTCCCTTTCATTGAGTGGTGTACTTTTAGGTAGGTAGAGGGGCGTCTTTGCTTTGCCCTGATGTGTCCCTCCTTGTTTGTTCCATTCCTCTCATGCTTTCCTGATTGGCTCTCCATCCCTTTCTTCTGCCTGCCCGGACATGTAGGCAATTCTCAGAGTTCTCTTGGCCTCTTTCTCACGTTACATGCTTTTCCTTGGTGGTTTTCTAACAACACAACCATAGACTTGCTATGGAAAAGATTCCCAGGCTTGTGTTTTCTCAGCCCTAGACCTAGATTTTTCAGCTGCCAGTTTGCTATTTTCCACTATCCTGCTTCCTCCCGAGCCTCCTAGAAAGAGGCCTCCCTCACCTCTTGCGAGAGTAGGCAGTGGAACCAGCGGCCCGCCCACCCCTCCTTTTGCTAATTTGCCTTTCTGGGAGCACTTTGTAAACCCCAGCCCTTGTCTGTTAAGGGAGGGCTTGGGCAGAGCTGGTGAAAAAGAAGCCTATAGTGCATACCTATCCCATGTGAGCCGGTGTATTGAGCCTTTCTGAGGGCTCCCCCCAAAATGGACACTCATGTGGTCAGGCTCAGTCAGGGTCACTCGGGAGATGTTACGATCGATGGGTTGGCACATTGGTTATAGCTGGAGTAAGAGGAGTCTGCTGCCTGTGGTGTGGTTTTCAGGCGGCTCAGCCAACAGTGTACCAAGCAGTGCGGATTTTTACCCTATTAATGCAGTTATTTCCATATTAGCCTAGGCTTGGGGAGTTGTATGTAACGTGTGTTCTCTCTCGTAGTGATTGACGACGCAGCCAAAGAGGTGGTGTATAGGGATTATATTGACATCAGTGTTGCGGTAGCCACCCCACGGGTATGTTGGGGAAAGAGGGGGGAGGCTCTGGTCTTGGACTCTGTATGAAACAGGCCCTTCGGGAGAGAACATTTTTATAATCCTGTCTTTTCAGAAGGGAGTTAGTGAAAGAGTAACCTACTTTGACCACACCACATCCTTTTCTCTTGATGTGAAGCCTAAATATTTTAAGACTCTTAGTCACATGGAGTAATTAAGATACTCAATGGGGAAGGGAGACCATAAACTTGAATCAAAGGAGTCATAAAGGGTACTATTAATTTGCAACTGAAAACAGCTTTTCACTCTCATCAGGGTCTGGTGGTTCCCGTCATCAGGAACGTGGAAGCTATGAATTATGCAGATATTGAGCGAGCCATCAGTGAACTGGGAGAGAAGGTACAGTGAAAAGCAGCATGTGTGCCAGCTGCTGGGCAGGTCGGGGAGGAAGGACTGGAGAAGGCCAGGCTCCCCAGTGGGCAGTGCTCGGGGAGGTGGAGCCTCACTTTGCTCCATAAGGAGTGCCGAGCCCGAGAATGGCAGTCGTCCCAGGAGCTTATGTATAGCCATCTGGCAGAGCTCAGCGTGCTCTTGTATCAGAAGATATCCTTATCAGAGGAGGAGGCCTGCTGAAGAAGGAAAAGGTCCTCGAGGCATCGTACCTTTCCTCTGGTGGAACCCTGGCCACAGGCGTCTCAGCTGAACAATAGCTAGAACTTGGACTGTTGATCTCAGATGGGAGCCTTCTGGGCTCCCTTTAGGTAAAGAAAGCTGGGTCTCACTTCCAGTTCAATTATTAAATCTTCATTTTTTAGGCTCGAAAGAATGAACTTGCTATTGAAGATATGGATGGTGGTACTTTCACCATTAGCAACGGAGGTGTTTTCGGCTCGCTCTTCGGAACGCCCATCATCAACCCCCCTCAGTCGGCCATCCTGGGCATGCATGGCATCTTTGATAGGCCAGTGGCTGTGGGAGGCAAGGTAGGAACCATCCCTGCTAATGCCCTAGCAGCTAGATGATGAGGAGAGGGAATCTAACTGCTCATTATAAAAGATTCACTGCAGTTTCAGACGTAAGTTCCATTCTTAGTTTCTGATTAACAGCTAGAGCACTGATCCTCAAATTGTGGTGTGTGCATCAGCAGCATTTGGGAACTTGTTAGAAATGCAAATTCTTGGACCCTTTCCCAGACGTGATGAAGCAGAAGCTGCAGGTGATTCTGACATGCATTAAAGTGTGAGGACCATGGTGCTGAAGAAGGCTTGCCCCTTCATCTGGAATGGTCAGCAAGCTCCATTCTCTAGGTGCTGTGGGGAGTAAGGGTACAGTTGGAAGCATGGTCCCTGCCCCGGGAACCAGAGAAGAGCAATGGAGAGTCTGTGAGCTGCCGGGTTGTATGAAGGTTTAGTGGTTCTCTGGGAGTTCAGGGAATGAAGTCAAAGGTCTTGAGCTGGCCTAGAAGATACATTGGTAGGAAAATACTTCCTCGGATTCCTGTGTTTAGTACCTTTCTGGGTCACTAACTCCCTTTTGTGAATCCAAAAATCCTAGGAAATGCTCACACAAGCAACTTGGCATACAATTTCAGAGCATTTAAGGATCTCTGGTTACTTTTTAAAATTGTAACCCTAAAGAAGAAACTTCAGGCTGCTAGAATTTAAGGACAAACTTTTTCTTCAGATGACAGATGAATGAAAGGGCAGAGCATATTTTTAAAAGGCACTTGTTTTCTTGGTTAAACTTTCTTGAGTCGGGGAGCTTTGCACTAAGGGTGGGCCTTGGTTTTTGAAAATATTCTAAGTATCCAGAGGCAACAACAACGGGAAAAGCTCTGGAACCGGAAACTTCTCTGTGGACTATGCTTTCTCATCACCCCACTTCCAGTGGGGCCTCCTCTGCTCTGCTGCAGACAAACCGGTCAACTTCTCCTCCCTGCAGGTGGAGGTGCGGCCCATGATGTATGTGGCACTGACCTATGATCATCGGCTGATCGATGGCAGAGAGGCGGTAACTTTTCTCCGCAAAATCAAGGCAGCGGTAGAAGATCCCAGAGTCCTCCTCCTGGACCTTTAGGAGGAAGCCACGTACCCTACGCGCCAACCATGCAGGAACTGAAAACCAGTCTTCTCCCTGTCCCCTCACGGGTCCCAGGTTGGCCTGGTGTCAGGCACATGTTGTTGGCCTCAAGCAAGGAAACCAGGGCACTATGTAACCAGCAGCCACAGGTCTCTTCTTGGTATTCTGCCAGGCTCTCCCCTTCTGTGCACCCTTCTCTTACACTCGAATATCTTCTTTAGGCTTGAGGGAGAGAGCGCCTTAATGGATGCTCATTAATATTTCCTGCCTTTCTCCCATTAGTCTTGTGCAGAGATGATTTTGCTTCTCCCCTGTGCCAGTGTACTACAATAGGGAAACCACTGGGGACCATGTGATCAAGTTTGTATCTTTTGAAAGTCTGTTCTGGACTAGGAGGGGATGGTGTCTCCCAAGCTCAGAGCAGCCTCTGTCCTGGCTGTGCACATTCTCACTCGATTCCACCTGTGTGGAGGCATCAACCACAGGCCAAGAGGTGCTGCTTTGCTGCTTAAATGACACCTTTATTCTCCACTCTCATTGACTTCAAGATGCCTCTTCTACCTCGTTCAGGAAGCGCAGGCCAGGGGATCTGGGTAGGAGCGGGGAGAGGGCAGACTCCTCCCTCCCCCACCCCCCCCACCCCCCGAGGTGTATGTTGTAGAAGAGACAGGCTTGCCGTCACCCGCCATCGTAGCCCCGTTTTGGCACAGTAACACACAGCTGTGATTGTGTGATTGTGCCAACCTTTCCAGGCTGCTCGGAACCATTCTAACACATTGTCATTTAGAACAGATTCTAGCACATCATGGCAGTGGGACGAGACGTGGTCACAGGGCTGGAGCCAGGTGAGACTGGGGTGAGGGGGCTTCCTGTGGACTGGCTCAGATTGATTTGAGCTTGTAAATGCCATTGGTGTAAGCACTTGGCCTGAAGAGGCAGCTGTTTCTCTGTATCATGGCCCTTGGGGAGCAGGGCCTTAGCTCTTCTGCAGAACACAGGTCTGGAGAAGGTTGGACTGTGTGGAAACCAGCCCCAAGATTCTAATACACGGTGGGGAGACAGGCAGTGTCACCTGTGAGGTGGTGTTGCCGGTTGGGTCTGGACGCAATCATTGGAATTGCTTGGAGCTAGTTTAAATACATACTTCTTGTCACGAAAGCCACTGGGCTTCATCGCTTTGTATCCACCTGCATCCAGGCCTGAGGTTGCTGACGGTTGAGACCAGGAACCACTTACTTAGTGCAGAGTGCCCATTTGGATCTGGAGCAGAGAAGCAAGGCCTGGAGGGTGGGGTGGGGGGTGGGGGGAAGGGACAGGAGCCAATACTGAGTGCCTGCAGCATCTACTATGTCTTCACTATTCAGAACTTGTAACTAAAATATTTAAAGAAACTGATTTTAAATGCAAATTAAAGGGCAAATGTTCTCAAAAGGTTCCATGATTGTCATTGGGGCTGGAAGCCACAGCATGTCCTCTAAGTTATCCTGTGACCTCCCAGACTTGAGTTAGCACAGTACTAACAGCAGAGGGAACCCTAGCAGTCTGCCAGCCAGGAAAGTGCCTGGCCTCCTTCCAGTGAGCCCCTCCAGCCTGACAGGCCACACTCCTGAAGAGAAGTTGGTTCCCACCTTTGTGAAACCACTGCATTTGCAGTGTTTGAGTGTTGAGGTCAGTAAGAACAAATGAAGGTAGATCACTGGGAGGGTAAGTGGACAACCTAGGCTACAGGTGAGGGGCATATGGTGTCTAAGCTTAAACGCAGCCCGCCCAGCTCTTTCTACACACAGTCCCCACCTGCTGGTCTCACAGTGATGCTGTCTGTACGTGAGGATCCCTCCTAGGAACGAAGTGCTCCAGGGGTAGAACTAGAGTTATAGGTGGGGAGAGAATGGGTTCAACAAAAGGAAGAATTTGGGGATGAATCTATCCCGAGCATGGTGCTGGAAGCTTTCTCTAATAAGCCTACAAAGGAGGTATTATCAGTCCCATCCTGTCAAAACGAGGTAGACTTGAAGTCCCATAAGGGCTGGGACGACAGTACTCAAAACTCCAGGCCCAGCAGAGCATCAGGTATGCAAGTGTTTGTTGCACGGATGAGGCCCAGAAGTTCCAGAAGCAACTCACGCTTCCATGCAGCAGTGGTTGGAAGCAGTCTAGCCTAACGTAGTGTAGCAAAAGGAACAGAGACTTAGGGCCTGGGGGAGCCTGTTCACATCATTAACGTCTTTGAAATGGGAGCCACCATCCATCTCGGGTCACAGGATTAGACCAGTGTTCCCACCCCCCTTCCCGGACCCTCTTCTAAGACTTCTCTTCCTACTTTATTTCCCAGGTTCCAGTGTCCCCTATGTGCCAGCACTTCCTCTCGGCTCAGAGCTGCTCTGCAGGGCACAGGCTGGCATGCCCTTCACCACCAGCCCTGCTTCCTACCTTCTAGTAGACTCCAGGCTCACTCTTGACTAAGTATGGAGTTTTCTCCGGGGGGCCTTCCAATCTCTCCTTATGGCAGGGCTGCTCTCGTTGTGTTCAGGAGGCGAGGACACCATGGGTACCAGCAGGCTTTATTGCAGGGGGAGGTATGGGCAAGGCCCAGGGAAAGCACAAACAGGCTGCCCTCCCTGGCATCCCCACCTCTAGAGTGAAGGTTGGACCTTTACAGCCAGACTGGAGAAGTGTCAGGGCGCCACCTGGTGGTGTCAGACACACTGGAAGGAAGGAGTTGGGGGCAGAGGTCTAGTGGAAATTTCCGTCTTGGGTGCCACACCCCAGTAACAGGAAGAACCCGGAGAAGAGTAAGAGGGCCCCCAAACCTGGGGAGGCGATAGTCTTTGGGGTAACTACTCACGCTAGCTCTTCAGGGACCAGAAACATTGTGCCTCTGGCTAAAAGCGCAGACAATCCGTGTGTTTTGTCGTTTCTCACCTCAAAAGGGGATGAAGTCACAGGGAGCGGTGACTTGAGCGGACCCTCAATGAAAATGCAAACTGGGAAACAGGACAAGTGCCCAAGAAGGGAATCCTGATGGGTACAATGTGTGGTAGTGGCTTCAGCCTGGCAGCTGCACTGTGACCCCCGCTCAGACCCATGGAGTCCGTTCCCTTTTGCACACGGGCAGGCTTGCTAGGGTAGGGAGCTCTGTTCTGCTTTCAGAATTACCCTTAAGTGGCAGAGCTGTGCATTCCTCCCTTTTATTACGCTTATCCTTATTTTCCTCTCCCGCCTTCGTTCTGTTCTCCAAAGTCTAGAATCACAGATCATTCTGTCCCCCACCTTACTCCATGCCCACTACAGGCTTCTCCCTGCTTCCCCAGCCTCCCCACGCCCTGCAGGAATAGCCTGGGAGGGGGGGAAGAGGCCCACTAGTTGCACACCTAAGATGACCAGGCAGGGCAGCCCTGGCTTGGGTCCACCGAGCCAGTATCCTGAGTCTCCAGAGGCGTCCCAAGCGGGGCACAGGGCCGATAGTCCCAAGACTTTGCGGTCAGTTCGGCAGTGGATTGGGGGCTCCGAGCTAACGCGGCAGGAGACACCCTTTGCAGGTCTGCAGTCAAGGTACAGGTGTCTGCTGAAGGCTGGACAGTGGAGGGGTGGAGGGGTCCGATCTGCCTGGTGGGGTGAGAGCTCCCTGTCCTTCCCCTTCAGTAATGACCAGAAAGGGTCTCTGGGGCTGGCCGGGGGGACGCCCAGGCCCATCTGGGCAGTGGCGATGGTCACTTCTGGTGCCCAAGAGGGGCTTGTGCAGGAAAAGCAGCCGCCCTGTCTTCTTTGCCCGGGGGCCACTGGTTATGTGGGCCAGCTCCAGGTGACAGGCAAAGGGAGGCGATCCAGACCAGTCCAGCAGCTTCCGTGGCCCGCTCTGCCCCTCTTACCCCACCAGTTTGCTCCACTGGGTAGTACTGAAGAAGGGGTGGGCCTTGAGCCTGTTGACGCCACCTCCTCCAGCGCCCAGGCGCCGCGCAGGATCAAACTGCAGCAGCTGCGGAGAAAGCCCAGCGGGTTTGGCAGACCCTTGTCGCTGAGGCATGGGTTGACCTCAGCTGGGGTGAGGTGGTCAGTCACCACTCCCAGCTGCCCGGCCCACGGAACCCCCAGTGGTACCCTGGGGACACTAGTGGTGTCTGGCCACCAGCAAACGCCAATTTTTTGTCCCCAATCACCCTCCAGCACCCACATCAGACACCCACCGTTCATGCCAGGACTCTGCCCTCCCAGCACCCACCCTGGGGCCAGGAAGCTACCTCCTCTAGGCTGGCTGTGGCTCACCTCAGTCAGCAAGGAGGCCGCTGGGCGACTGAGCCACTCAGGCAGCTGGAGCAGGGTATGGGGCTGGATTCCCGAGGGGTGGCTCTGTGACAGTGCCTGGGAAGACACAGGGAGGGGCGCTCTGAGTAGACGACCCCAGGAACGTCTATACATCCCGGTGGCAGCCAGGATTTTTCTTTCCCCTGGGTCATGTCCCACGGGGATGGGGATGGTAGTGGTCGCCTTCTGCTTTAGAGCTACCCAGTGCCAGGCTGCGGAAGATGCCGGACAGCCCTTCTGCACGATTTCTACAGCAACCTTCAAAGTAAGTACTAGAATCCTCATTGTAAAGACAAGGAGCAGGCTCAGGGAGGTGAAGGGACTTTTCTCCTGGATTCAGGGTTTGAACCCAGCTCCTCCTGGCACCAAGCTTGCCAGAAGTTCTCAATCCTGGGTTGCCTTGAGGGTAGGCACTCTATCAGGAACGGCACTGGAACCGGTCCCCTTACAGAAGGAAGATCTCCAGAGCCGGCCACGGTATGCTGCCGTCAGGGCCGAGGCAGGACCTCCCTGCGTTCCAGAACGGTGCAGCTCTGGAGAGCAGAGCGGTCTTTCAGGGGTCAGAAATTGCTGCAAGAAGCAACCAGGAGGAAGGCCAGGGGCCCTGGGCTAGAGAAGCATCGGGAGGCAGAGACCACCCCACTCTGGGGATACCTACAGCCAAGACAGTCAGAGGCCCTGGCTGTGGGACAAAAGAGGGCACCAGGATGGACCTCAGGCCACACTCCATTCGCTCCTGTCATTCCCTGCTCAAACCGCGGTCTGGCTGCTCCCTTGCTGCCTGCCCTAACCAGCCCCAGTGTGATGCTGAGCTCGTCGGGGAGGGCAGAGGCTGCCATCCTGAGCAAAGACGCCTGCAGGGGGGTGGGGGGATCTTGGAGCCGCTGGCTGACCCAGGCTGGACAGGACAGCTGCTGGCCTGGACGAAGCGGGCCCGCTTTCCTGTCCTTCAGCCAAGATCTGGGGGTTACAGCTCAGAAGGGTGCAAGTGGGGGGAATGGGCTGCGGGGAACAGAGAAGCTCGGGGAATGATTCCGCAGCCCTCCAGGAAAGA